CCGGCCCGCCCCGCCGCGCTCCGCCCGCCCCGTCCGCGCGGCGCTCCGCTCCGCGCCGCGTTTTTCCTCCGTCCGCCGCGTAGTAGCGGGGCCGCGCCAGCGCCCGCCTGTTGTGTTTCTGTTGCCGCCCGCCATCTTGTCGCCAGCGCTGCTGCTGCTCCTGCTGCCGCCGCCGCCGCCGTCGGGGCGAGCAGCGGGGCGGGGCGGGGCGGCGCGGGCGGGAGAGGCGGCGGGCGGCAGCCGGGGGCCCCGCGCCATGAGCATCGAGACGCTGCTGGAGGCGGCCCGCTTCCTCGAGTGGCAGGCGCAGCAGCAGCAGAGCGCACGTGGTGAGAGCGGGGGCGACAGCCGGGGGGCGGGCGGGGGTCGAAGCGGCGCGGAACGGGGATGCTGGGGGGGGCACGGTGGGCGCTGGGGGGGGACGCGGGGCCGCCCCCGCCCCGCCGCGCGGGGACACGCAAGGAGCGCGGCGGCGCGCCCCGGTGGGAGGGGCGGGGTGGGTGACGTGATCGGTCCCGCCCTCCTTCCACGTGCGCGGTGCCGCGCCACGCCCCGGTTCCCCGCGGGGAGCGGCGGCCGCCCCGCCCCACCGCGACACGGCCGTTCGGGCGGGGCGGCCGCCGCTTCTCCCCCCGGGGCCCCCGAGCACGGAGCCGCTCTTTGTTCCGGCGTGACTCATCGTCGGCGCGGGGCGATGCGGCAGAAAGGCCGTTCGTGCGTTGTCACCGCGCTGCCCGCAGCCCCGCTGTTCTGCCGCGCGCAGACACGCGCACACACGCGCACATCCAGGGCTCCTTTGTCTGGTATTTGCGAACTCCGGACCCGTGAATTAGCGGGTGTCTCGTGGTTCCCAATTGAGGTTAACATTTTATTATCGAAGAAAAACACATCCCCCCAAAAATGTAACCACAAGCAACTCATATTTATTTTCTTTTTCTTTTTTGCCCATATATACTCCTCTGCTGTGCTCTCTGCTTTGCTCCTGCCCGTGTTGATAAACCTTTCGTTTTCTTCAAACTTTGCAGCGTGGGCAGTGACCCAGAGGTGCACAGGGTTTCTGTCTCATCCCGTGTCACTGCTGCTGGCACACCTGGGTTGGGTGGGATGTCCCCGCCGTGTGTGCTTGGGGGATTTCCCATTGGTGCGGCCCAGAACAGCTCTGGAAGATGCTGAAATATGCACTCAGGGGTGTCTTTTTCTTCTTTCCTGCTCCCTGCACCTGGATTGCTGTCTGATTTGCAGCATTGGCTGTGCTGAAGGTCAGAGGCTGCTCCCTCGGTTGCTGGTGGTAGGGATGGCAGTGGTGCCATAGGGGCTGCAGGCAGGTGCTGGGTTGCCCCGTGCATCTGCAGAGCGCTGGGTAACTCATGAAGTCTCCAGACCAATCCCTGAGTGTTTGTGCAGCTCCAAGTACTCTCACTTCTCTCAGTGCAGCACAAGCAATCCCTGGTTCTGCTGACCCCGCACACTGGTGTGGTCACGTTGCTGCAGAAGAAGTTCTGGGAGGGCTTGGCAGCACAGATCAGTGTTAGTGTTGGTGCTCTGGTCAAGTGTCTTCCTCAGAGAGTCTTGTGCCCAGCAGGAGCACGTCACTGGTGGCAATGTGCTGCAGGCCTGACTGTGATGTGGGATGGCCTCTCATCTATTAGCAGTGAGCCGAGCAAAGCTAGATTGTGCGTTTTGGATGAGGAAGGCGTGCTAGTGCCCATGGGAGAAGCTGTAGGTTCAGAGATTGGTTATGGAGATGGGCAGAGCTGTAGTGATGATGTAACCTGTGGGAGGACATGGCCAGCTTCGGCTCCTCCATAGGGGAAACCACACATGGAACCTGGAAGAAAGCACTGGGGAACTGTGGCACTGCAACTGCAGTGACTTCTGTGCAGCCATGGAGCTGGTGCAGGTAACAGTGCTGGTACTGCTGAGGGGTGATGGGCAAAGGCTTCTGGCTCCTGCACACATGGATCATGACTTGATGAGTAGATACTGTTCAGTTTATCTTTTCTCAATTGGATTTTGAAGGGTAGTTTTCTGTTTTCCTTCATTCCACTGAAGAGAGTGGTGAGTGAGAGCATCCCGTGACAACGGCTCCTGCACAGCCCTGGCACAAAAGCCCGGCACTGTTTTGGTCATGGGAACCCAGAAACGTTACACGAGCTCCGGACCAGTGAGGCTCTGTGGTTAATGCAGGGATCTGGTTCTGCCGTGACTCAGTGCGTGGCACAAAGTCGCCCAGCACGTGTCGGCTTTGGCTCCAGTTGCTGCAGAGTGCCAGCAGTGTTCCACATGGCTCTGAGCTCAGCGCTCCGCTCACACCCACGAGGCTCGGGTCGGGTCCCAGAGCTCTGCTCTATGGGCACAGCAGGCACCTGGGCTCTCAAGAACATGGGTTTACCACTCTTTTCTGACTGGCACACTAAAAGCACACCATTGTTCTGTGTCTCTGCAGACTTTGGAGCCATCCCAGGCTTGGGAAGGGAGGCAGTGGTTCTTCACAGTTTCTTTTGTGCGCCCTGTAGAAGACGGGACCGGGTCCCGGCTGCCCTCAGTGCCATGTCCTGCTCTGACCACAGAAGCTGTTCAGCTTGAAAATAACTGCTCATCAGAATACATTACTTACTGCTTCTTAAAAATGCTGATGCCTGGCAGAAAAGCCCTGAGACAGCACCTTGCATCAGCAGAGCTCAGCGACCACGCGTCCAGGTGAAGCTGTGCAGACGGCAGAGCAGCCCAGTTGGCTGCAGAGCTGCCCGTGGAGCTGCACACAGCCCGTGGCAGGGCAGCCTGGCAGGGGGTGCTGGCCAAGGTGGGATTGGTTTTCTGGCAGTCCTGATCCATTTTCGTTTTCCTTGCTAAGTGTGCCTCATTTATTTCTTCTCTCATCTAAGAAATGTCACTGAAGCGCAGCTATGTGGACCCACTGAGACTGAGAGGGTTTTGGTTAAACACAGAATAACAAACGTAGGCATGATACAAACTGTCCGTGGAGGTGTGAGCAGTTGTTGCTTTAAGAACCATCTGTGTTATTTAGGGTTGCTTCTTGTTTGGGGCTTAGGAGGCAAGCCACGAGATTTCTTGAGGCCTTCCCAACCTTCCCATGTTCCTCCATGGCTTTGGTGGAGGGAAAGGCTCTCTCCCAGGCAGGAGCACAGTGTGTCCGTGCCCCGTGTCCCTTACTGGGCAGGAGGGTTGTCTCGTCACTCTGGTTTGTCTCAGGTTTGGATGCTGGGGTCACTGTGGTTTCTGGGAGCTGCAGATAGGCCCATCGCAGTGATGTCAGTGTTGGTTGGTGCTACAGAGGTATAGGTGACGTGAAGGCTGATTTTGCTTTGCTCTTGCTGATAGGACATAAATGTGTCATAGTCATCTGGCTGAGAAAATGGAGATTCGAGGTTGTTCACAGTGAATGGTGACACCTGCAGAGAAGGTGTGGGAAGTGTGCATGACGTTCGCGAGGTGGCTCAGCACGGTCCGGGGTGGGCCTGGAGGTGTTTAATACTGGGACACAGATGGCAGAAGGGGTGGCTCTGCTTCCAGCGGTGTGCCGCCAGCCCTGGGCCCCCATCAGAAAGCATTTCCCATCCTTTGTCCCCAGCACACTCCTAATGTAAGGTTTCACCTTTCCATAAGGATGCAGTGTGTGCGTTAGGGAGGACAGCGGGGCACCGTGACACGGGCTGACGGCCAGGCTCCCAGTGGGCAGCAGCTGGTGGGAGTGGGGAGGGTTTGGGGTGCGGGGCTCCCTGTGCTGGGTGGGGCGGGGGGCTGCGTGCTGCTCGCACAGCCGGGGAGCTGTGTGGGTGCTGCTGACGTCATGTGCAGATGAGAGGCGTGCAGATCAGGGCCCGCCGTGTGCCGGCACTCCGGCTCGTTTCCAGGCACCGGGAAGCGCCGCGGCTGTTCCCTGCCGTATCCTCTTATGTCAGCAACATTTGGATGACTCAGCCCTGATTCAGACTGCGCTTTCCCTGTGCTGTGCCTGGCTTCCCCTTGCAAGTGCAGCCCAGAACAGCCTCTGCTATATGCAGGAATGAGGAAGCGGCGCCTCATTTATTTGATAATGAGCAATCAGAGGCTTTGTGCTGCTCCATGTAGTGATGGGGTGACAGCGGGATGGGGAACAGGAGCTCTCCATCTCCTCTGCCCTCTGCTGCCCATCCCCTGCGTGGCTCGGGAGGCCCCCACAGCAGCACTGGCAGCAGCGCTGTGCAGTGGCTGCTGCCTCCCCCAAGGTGTGCGCTGCAGCTGAGCTGGAGCACTGCCTGGCAAAACTCCGGGACGGGCACTGCCGGACAGCTGGGCTCGGGTCTGCTCTTGACCCTTCTCGGCACAGTCTGTGTGAGCTTTTCCTCCCGACTTCTGCCACTGCTTAGAAGAGAGTGCCGAGGTCCAGACAGCAGCTGTGCCTCATAGAAGCTTAAGTGGGAGTGTTCACTGTTAGAAGTGCAGAGCATCTGCAGCTGATGGCAGAGATAGTCAGGGGCCCAAAGGAGACTTGGGCCTCTCCTAACGGAATCAGCAGGAGTCAGCACTGTGGCTCTGCCTGCATCCAGCTGTTGGTGGGGCTGAGGTGCTCTGAGGACATCTGACCCTCTGAGCAGACTCAGAGGTAAGCTGCTTGATTTTGCAAAGGCATTGCCACTGATAAATCATGAGTATTGATTATGTCCCCAGTGCAAAAAAGGAGCATTAAAGATAGCATTAAAATACCTTTAGAGGAGCGCTCATGGGGTGCGTTTGCAGAAGGCCACAGGTACGAGCTGCTGTACCCTGACCACTGCCAGCCCCAGCATCTCCTCAGTCACCCCAACTCCTGCTGTGGGTGGGAGGTGCTCCCTGTGCAGGCAGAGGGAGGAGATAATTTTAAACCTGGCAGATTACTAGGTAATGAAGTTAAGAGTCCCTGGCACTGTATATTCCTGGACCGCCAGGCCCCAGAATAGCAGCAGCTAGCTGGGGAGGGATTGCTGACCCTGTTTCTGTGCTTTTCTGTGACAAAATTGGCTGTGTCCTCCCCTTGCTGCTGGTGTTGCTGTCACCCACGTTACTTGCGGGTGGTGAGGCTGAGGGCTGAGGTGTGAGCGGTGGGAGCCTTGCAGCCTTGTGAGGGAAAGCTGGGGAACTTAGTTCCTATGAGGAAAGAAAGGGGGCCTTTGTGATGGTGTCTTTACTTTGTTTGCAAAGGAAACAGAAGGCAGAGATTGCTACAGCTTGCACAGCATTGAGGTGTTTGTGTCCCGGACACAGGCTGCTGGCAGGCACCCTGACCGCTGAGCAGGGGCTGGTAGCCCAGAGCCTTGTTGCCAATGAAGTCAGACGCAGAAGGCAGCGGTGTCAGGTTTTGGCTAAAGCTATTCTTGAAATGAACCCTTCAGCTCAAGGGAGCTCAATATTTGCAGCACCAAAGGCGTCTCTGGCAGCTTGTCAGCAGCGCGAGGGCTGCACCTGCTTCGCAGAGACATTTACATAAATATTTCTGATCAGCAGTGCACGCGTGTAACCTTACTTTGCTGCACTCTCAGCTTGCCCAGTGAATGGGAATGATGTGTGGTAGGAGTTTCACTGCTGCTCTGCTGAATTGGGAACACTGCTGGCAGCACGGCTGTCCTGCAGCTCCCGTGCAGTGCTGCAGGGACGGAGCAGTGTGCCCGGATGGCGTTTGGGACGTCACAGCCCTGCAGCAGTGCTGGGGTTTCTGTCCCTCCCTGGGCTGTGCCGCTCCTTGCCCAGCCTGTGCCATCCTGGCTTTTCCCAAAGCATTTCTATGTGGCTGTAAGGAGGTCCCAGCACGAAGCGGCTGCGGGCGTGCTGTTCTTCAGCTCTGTGCCTGGAACAGCACCCAGTGAGTTCCTTGGGCAGCATTGGAGGTGTTTGTTGGAGGCTGTGTCTGGGTGCTGGGGCCCCTGGCGCCATGGAACTTGGATAAATAAATGTAATTGGTGCTGTGTTCAGATGATTAGGGCCGGAGACCTGGGTCAAGTTTAATGAGGTTTATTTTGCTAGTCCGGCCACACATTGCATTTGATTTGGTGTTCTAAAAACATACAGGAACACATCAGGGTGAGTTTTAGGAGCTTGAGTAAAGTCACAGCAGAAGCGTGAGGTCAGTGTGAAGCCAGCTGGGCTGGGACTTGGCAGCACCAAACAGGGCTGCTTAACCCCAGGAGCGCCGTCTGGAATGGCTGCGGTCCCACAGCCGCTGTGTTTGCCCTGGCTGCTGCGTGTGGCAGAGCACGGGCAGCACGTGCTGCACGCTGGGATGGCCGGGCAGAGCGAAGGGCTGGGCTTTGGACACGGCGTCACCTTGGCTTTGGTCCTACGGCCTCTGGAAGCGCAGGCTGTGCCGTGCTGGCTTCGCAAGGGCTGTGGGTGGGAGACACGGGGGAGCCCATCAGTGACTGTCTTCTGGTCTGTCTTTCAGAAGAGGATGAGAAGCACGAGAAGCTCCGCCTGGAGCGGGAGCAGGAGCAGCGGAAGGCCAGCGTGCCGCGGGCCAACCATGCCGTGCCTCCGGAGGAGCCGCGCGGTGAGCTGCTGGTGCCCGTCTCGCCGCCTGCCCCGGCCCCTCCGCCGCCCCCGCCGCTGGCGGCCCCCATCTCCGTCATCCCCATCCCCGTGGTCACCAGCCCGCCGCAGCCCGCCGCCCAGGCCGCCCTGTCCCCGCCGCTGGCTCAGCGCCACCCGCCCCTCGTGAGCACTCCGGGCATCACCAAGGAGCCGCCCTCCGTGGCCCCGGTCATCCAGCGGCCGCCGGGCGCGCTGCTGCCGGACGGGAAGGCGGGCACGCCGCCGGCGGGCAGCCCGAAGCAGCTGCAGCACTACGCGGCGCCCGTCCTGGCCATCTCGCAGCACCACGTGGTCCCGCAGCCCATCCAGCCCCAGCCCGTGCCGCACCCGGCCCCGCCGCTCGGCGCCCTGAAGCTGGCTCCGGCGGAGGACGTGAAACCCAGCGAGCAGAAGAAGAGGCCCGGAGGGTGAGTGAGCGCGGGTCCTGGACGCTGCGTCGGCCCTGAGCAGCCCTGCTTTGTAGAGTTTCGGATCAGAAATGCCGAGATCAGTGGACGTTTGAATGCCTGGGTCGGTTTGTTTTTGATAGTAGGATTTCTCAGCTTGATGTTTTTAATTTTTGCCCCTGACCACGGTATACAGGTTTGTTTTTCCAAGCCAGAGCAGCGTTAGGAAGCAGGTCCCACAGGCAGCACCCGGTGTTACGTCTTGGCAGAAGATCTCTGCTTACAGTGTTCGGGGGGATCGTGCGGCATCCCCGGTGCCTGGGAGCGGTGTTGAGTTGTGGGCAATTCTGTCTCCCAGGGCAGGGTTCCCTGTGGCTGCTATGTGCTGTTGGGACTGAGGGCCTCCAGGGCATCTGGGGCCACGGGGGATGCACGGCTGCTGAATGTGTCCCTGCCTGGGATGGGCCTCGTGGCTGGACCGCTCGTGGTCAGTGTTTGTCTCATTGTTCTTACGGACTTGGGTCGGCCAATGCTCCTTAGGGGATCCAGAGTACAGTGTCCCAGTAAATAACCCGCTATTATTTCTTGTGCTCTTTCTTATGGACTGTGAGAACGAGTGGTTCCCTTTGCCTTTGCAGCAGCCTCTCACCTGTTCCCGTGTCCTGCAGCCCTCCTTTCTGCAGGACAGCTGATAGGGCTCTGCTCAGTCCTTCTGTCCATCCCTGTTACCACTTCCATGACCATTCCATCGCTTCCTGCACTGAGGGATGTCTCTGTGAGGCCGTGCCCAGAAGGACCGTGCCCACTGTGTGGTCTCAGGCTGCCATGCATCCTTGGAGTCAGCCTGCAGAGCAGGCTGGGCAGCAAAGCAGAGGTGCTGGGGCCACGTGCTGCTGGTGCTGCCTCCTGGCTCACAGCGCTGCTCTGCTCCTCCACACCCCAGCTGGTGGCAGTGGGAGCTGTGTGGGAGCAGCACAGAGCCACAGATGCCCCACTGCCCCGAGCAGCAGTGCTGGGCTCAGGAGGTGGGCGATGCTGTGGACAAGGACAGGGTTCATGGTGTCCTCTGGAGCACAGAGATCCCGGTGTGCATAGAGGGAATGGTGGAAATCATGTAGTTTAGAGTTTGTAAGGATGAAAACCTTTGCAAAGTGCTGACACAATTCCTCATAGAAAGACTGTGATCTTAGAGCTCGCTCTGTTGCAGATGGGTGTGTGGGCCCGGGGCAGGTTCTGGTGGCACAGGGGTGCGTTGCTGATGTTTGGTGGATGTAAGAACAGAAAGGATGTTTTTTCCAGCTTGTAAATGTTTCTTGGGAAAAGGCTGTCGAGTATTTATTTTTAAACACCTGGATGTTTATTGAATATTTATCAACCTCCTTCAGTGCTCACCTCACTGTTGGTGTATTGTCGACCACTTGCACTGGGTATGGAAGATATTCAATGCCTGTTGCTTTATCACCATTGTTGCTGAAAACCTATGGTTGCAGGAATTCATTTGGCTTTTCCTAAAAGTTTTCCTGTGGTCTGTGAGGTGGGGGCAACCCAGATCCCCCCCAGAGGCTGACCCTGGCTTTCCCTTGAGCGGTGGCTGCAGGATTCCTGGATTACTTCACTCCATATTTATGTTGGGCTGTGTTATTTCAGGCACAGCAGAAATGAAAGAGGTTTGAAGTATGTCTGCCAAGTCCTGTAAACTTTAATTTGCGACTGCATAAATCTCACCCCGCTGGAGTGTAGGCGTGGATCAGAATTGGGTCAGAATCTGGGCTGCCAGTGCTGTGTGAATGCACCATGCACACCCGTTGTCCCCTCCTGGTGCTGGGAGCTTATGTGGGCACGTCATGCTGTTAGCTGTTGGATCCAGTGTGCAGTATGTGGGTGATGCTCATCCCATCACAAGTGTGTGAAGTATGGATTTCACCTTAATACAGCGTAGGGAGGAATATATACGCAAGTAGTTCCAAACCAGTGGTATCTCAACAATGCTATTGTTCTCTCATATTTACCTCTATGTCCTAGACACACACACTGCTGAAAGTACAGGCTGAATGGCAATAGTTTTAAACCTGACACTGAGTTTATCTTTGTTCTGTTTGGGTTACAGGGTTGGGACCAGGGAAGTACATAATAAATTGGAGAAAAACAGGTGCGTAGAAAGCCAGGGTTTTGCTTTTTTTTCCCCAATTTCGTTTCACATTTTGGTTTTTATTTTTTGGCCTGTAGTCTGTCAATATTTGTTTGCCTTGGGCTTGTTTTTTGTTTTTTTTTAACAAATGACTTGGACAAAATTCTTAGTTACATTTAACGAACCTTGCAATATTGCTTTGCTTTCTTATGGCTCGATTCTGCATCTCTTGCTTCTCAGTACGTTTTATTTATCTGCATAACTGCGTTACAATAACCTTGCAAAGCCCTGATCCTGCAAAGTAAATCCCCACGTGCATAACGGCGTAACTTCTCTTTGATTTGAAGCAGTAAAGGAACCAAGAGCAGAGCCCAGCGTGCACTGAGAGTACAGAGTGGAGGTTCCTGATCTGACACTTGTAGCCCAAATAGCCAAATCAGAAACAGGATGAAACCAACAGTGCAGGGAGGTGTGATACGTTTTTACAATAGCACAGCAGTTTCCTACCAAGGTAGGGCTGGAATCGGAGCCGTGTAAGCAGTCTGCCTGCTCGATTGGGATGGTTTGGTTTTAAGCATGCAGGTAGTCCCAGTGACTGCTATGCACACGTGCACGTGCTTTGCTGGATTAAGGCCCAAATTAAGCTTCAGCCCTCTGCTAAATTGATTTCCGGTGTGCGCTAACACGAGCTGACAAACCACCTGTGTTTTCTTTAGACGTGCACATTTGAAAGAATGCTTTGAGACATTAAAACGCAACATCCCCAACGTAGACGACAAGAAGACCTCAAACCTCAGCGTCCTAAGGAGTGCCTTGCGATACATCCAGGTACGGTGGCGGTCGGGTCCCTGCTGGTGGCCGTTGCACGGCGCTGTGTCTGCTGGGACAGGGAGCAGCGCCAGCTTTGCTTAAACCAAGTAAAATTTTGCTCTGGATTGAAAAGGAAAAAAGCCCCATTCGAGTATGGTCACCTCTGAGCTCCAGATTTCCAGGCCTTTTAGATCTTCTAGGAGAGCTTGCCTCGTGCAGCCTCCTCACCCTAGGAATTCCTTAGGTAACTGCAAGCCATCCGTACCAGTGATGGTGATGGACTTCAGGCAGTTTCATCTTAGTGCAACAGATAAGCCAAGTGGTCCGCAAAAGGGGCATCCTGCCTAAATAAATGCATGATATGGTGCTGCTTTTTGGACTAAGGTGAATTTTAATCCGTATGTTTTGGGGAGGTTTTAGTTTGCTTAACCAAGATGGGTAGGCCTTGAATTTCTCAACGTTTTGATGAGAAGATGGGCAGGTCATGCCACGTCAAGATGTGCAGGGGTACCAAGAAAGAGTCTGGGAAAAAAGTAAAGATCAATTTGTATTGTGGTGATTGCAGGTTGAGTGAAATAAGCATCGCTGTTTGCTTATCGTTGTCATGTTTGACACAGTTCTGTCAACTGACACTGCAAGTCGAGTTGTTCTTATGCTGAGGTGTTTTGCACACCTGATGCTTGTAAAAGGTGGTTAATTGTAACACAGAAGTGGTTCTTAAGAAGCGTCCTCTGTGGTGGTGATATCAAGAGTTGCACAAGTAAAATCTGTGTAGAAAATGGAAGCCAAATTCATAGCACCGTCTTGCAAGCGAAGAGAGCCAATAGACCTCATCTGTTTTGGCTGGGATAAACAACGCTGAGTTCTTCATGTGTTGTCAGTTTCCTTCTGTTTCTTTCTGTATTTCTCAGTGTCTCTGAAGGACTGTGTTATTATTCTGTTCAGAACTACTGGACATTCCCTGCCAGCACTGCATTTTCTTACCTTTCAGCATTAGAGCAGCTCAGCTCTCCTGTGTGGCCTTGACCAGTGACATCCCTTGCAGAACCTTTGGCTGGGACCTGGAAACCAGACAAACTCTAATGGTGCCCAGCCACAAGGGAGGGGCAAGTGAAAAAGGAAAAGATGCGTGTTGCTTCAGAAGGTCTCTTGTGGAGTTGTGGTTGTGTTGTAGCTAACAGGCATCAGAAGAAATTGGAGCATTTCATTGGGCTTCAGACTGGTGTCAGCATGGAGCTGGGCTTCTGTTAGCACTGGAGGGAGGCAGTGATCACATCACCTGCTGGTGCACCAGGAGCTGAGTCCGGAGTCCCGGTGTCCCGAGCAGCACTGCTTGCACCCGGCTGTATGAAAACTGATGTGAGTGCTGGTTTGTCTGCCAGCGTGTTGTTCTCTGACGGAATTTGCATTCTGTGCTTCTGGGGGGCAGCTTGCAATTCTCTCTGAGGATGTAGTGGGGAGGCCAACTCTTTGTCCCCTCACTGGACCCGCTGGGAAATGCACTGAGTTGGAGGCGGCTCTGGGTGGGCGGGGGCCGCGGGCCGTGCTGCAGCCACCACGGGCCAGCCGCAGAACCGGGTCAGGGCCGCACAGGGGAGGCGGGCGGCGGAGCGCAGCGGCGGTGGCGAAGGTCGCGGTGACCCCATGCGGCCCGGCCCGGCCTCCTTCCTGCCGGGAGCTCCTGGCCGCGTCCTCGGCCACGTGTGCAGCGAGCACGTGGCGCGGCGGAGGCCTGGCGCGCTGCCGCGGTGCCTCTGGGCACGGCTGTGCTGCGCTGCTGGGAGCGCCGCGCTGGCGGCGGCCCCGTGCGGCCGGGGCGGAGAGCTCGGAGCCCAGCTCTCCTCAGCAGGGTGCTGCTGAAGGCTGCAGGTGTGAGTGCTGCGCCTGTTTGCCTGAAAGAATCAGATTGCTGGGAACCTGACTTGAATTTTCTGACTTGAAAAAAATATATGGCTTTTTTTCTTTGCTTTGAATTTGGCTCGGATTTGTCTCCATTCTGTTTCACCAAACTGAAGTGCACGGAGTTCAGGCTGCAGTTGGGGCCAGGAGGAGCCCCGCAGATGCTGCCTGCAGAGCATCGGTGGGGCTCATCTGGATCAGCAGGTGGGAGCAGGGGCTGGCTGAAGGGCTGCCTGCAGCTCTGCATCCCAGCTCTCTGCTTGCTGGGTGCTGCCTCTGCCTTGCGAAGAGAACATGGGAGTACAGAAGAGCTCTAAAATTCAACAGCCCTTCTTTCAGCATGGCAAAGTAATTTCTTACAGAAGGGAAAAAAAAAACAACCACATGAGCCTTGCATGGGAGGAGTGCAGTGCGTGGCCCCGAGGTGCTGCTGGCTGATGCTCTGCCACAGGGAGCACAGCAGTACTGGTTGCTGCAGCCGCACTGCCTGCAAAATCCTTTTTCCCTCTTCCAGCTGGAACTTCTTACAAATGAGGTGCTTGTCTCCTTGGCTGGATTTGAATATTTGTATCTGCATCAAATCAGATAAGTCACAAAGTTGAATTCCAAACTTCCCATGGAGCTGTCATTCTAATTTATCCCTAGAGTCAGGCCTGTGCTCTAAGAGAGTAAATTAGAATCTCTGCAATTAAGCACATTGTTGCACGAAGGAAATCAGGCTGAACGCAGCTGGAAGTTAGTAATCCTTTTAAATGGCGATTTGGCTCCAGGCAGTGTGGGCTGTTGCAGCCCAGCTCTGTGGCCTTTGGGTGAGGGAATCGTCCCCTGTGCGCCGTGATGCCTTGTGCTTCACTCCTTGCCTGTGGTTGCCACCCATTGACCTCCCTGCAGAGCTCAGCGGTGGCACTACAGGGCTACGGGCAGCTTCCTGGGTGTTTCCTGTGACACGGAGAAGTGCAGTGGGATGGAAATGTGAGTATCTGCCTGGGGAAAGTATGCCTGAGTGCCCTGGGCCTGGGCGGCCCTGGCGTGGAGTGGGATGGGTCTGGCACCAACCCGGGCAGCAGGAGCTGTGCCACAGTGCTGGGGAAGGCGCTGCCAGTACCGAGGAGTGGAACGTGGGGCAGTGGGCTGCAGACAGTTCATGTCCAGAACTCGGTGCAGCTGGGTGTTTTGATTTAATTCTCTTTGAAGGGTTCCTTGCCCCCTAGGAAATGCTGTAATCATCTTAGTTGGAAGCTAATTGAAGCCCTTAAGCAAGACTGTTTTCTCTTCTGTGTTCTCAGACTGTGTCTGTCGCTATGGTACCTGAACACTTTCCAGTTTTAGGGGTTATTTCCCATTGCATATTTGGTGTGACACCACATCCAGGCAATGAGCTCACTGGGTGACACCAGGACAGCCAAAGCAAGCAGCTTGCAAGCGTGGAGCTGCAGCTGACAGACCAGGGTCACTGCAGGGCCCGGCTGGCAGAGCTTCCCACTAAGAGCAGAGCCAAGTGCTGATTGAACAGTAATGTGCTTAGAAAATACTGGTCAGAACCGAGCTGCCCAGACCTTGTGAGGGGCAAAGAGCAGAATCCTTTGAAGTCTGCAGAGTGGGACACGCTGTGATCCATGCTGCTGTGCACTGCTCAGCACAGCGTTTGGAAAGGTATTGGGAGGAGGAAGGTGCTGTGATAACCGTGCATGGCTTGAGTTGTGCCAGAGGAGCATTTGCTGTGCATAAGAAATGCACTTGGCTCACAAGTTCATACAGCTCATCTGGCAGTTGTATTTGCTGCTTGTAGGATTAGAGATAGAAAATAGCTATGAGATGAATTTGGGATTTATATCATGTCCGCTGTGTCATCTGTTCCCAGGGGAAGAGGCAGGAGGGATGTGGTTCTGCCTACCTCAGGAGCTGGGGTTTACATTCTACCCTGCACCCACTGACTGAACAGCACTGCAGCAAAGCCACTGACACCAGCAGGGACCTCAGCTCGTGGTGCCTCAGTCCTCCTGTAATCACCTAGAGGAACCTTTGTTGCAAAACAATCCATTTTTTTCTGTTTATGTGCATTAAAAAAGATCTGTAAATGAGTGGCAAAGTCGCACAGGTGCTGTGTGACCAGGTGGCAGCCCCTTGCTGTCTCGAGATGCAGACCCTCCAGCTGCAGGAGCTACCAAAACTCAACTTCACAGTGGTCATCTGTCCTTGTCCAGCTGCTGGGAGTAAAGTACTGCAGCAGAGCAGTGTGTGTGCTGTTAGAGAGGTGATGCCTTTCTCAGGGACTGAATTCGAGCTAAAAGAAATGAAGTGGTGGTGCACTGGGCTCAAGGTAATTGACATCTCTTTGGATTCCCAGATAAATTGCTGTATCGCTCACGTTGAGGGAACCAATTTCCTGAGTACAAAGGCAGGCCTCCTTAGCTGGCCTCGCATCACATCCCCACTGTGTCCTTAGCTGTCTGCTGCCCAGAGCACTGCCTTCCCCTCTGTCAGGTGTAACTGCTTTGGGCTGAGGTTCAAACAAGAGCAGTGTCATTGGTCTCAGATAGCTGTTTGTGCAAAGGAAAGGAGCTGTTTATAGCTCAGACCAGTGGGCATGGCTGTGAAATGGGAATAAAGTGATTATCCCAGGCAGGAAAAGGGCTTCTGTCCATTCCTAAACAAAACCCCATAATGCGCTGACGCAGGGAGGTGCTGTGCCACAGGCAGAACTGATGTATCTGGTGCTGGAGTGTCTCTCTGCTCTTGTGTGAGAACCAGAGCTCATCTGCACTCAGGCAGCACAGCCTGGAGTTCTGATCAAAATTCATAAAGCTGAGCTGCAGTGCTGAATCTGATTAAGTTCCTCACCTTGAAAATATGACTGTAACTGGTGGTTCTGGTTGGTTGGATGTTTTTTTTTTTTGTTAATTCAGTGCTAGCTACCAGCAGAGAGATGTATCTTCTGTGAATCTTGTCCGGTAAGAGCCTGAGTCAGTCTGCAGTTTCAGTGCCTGCCTCATGTGAGCAGCCCTCACATGCAGCATCCCTCCTTTGTGTTGTTTACCTGACCTGATCAATTGATTCTATCTCGTCTAATTAGCTTGAATTTCATTGCAATAATGGCTTCCAGCAACAATAGGCTGTGG